ATTTGAACAAGATCAGAACCTCTCATCTTTGAGCCATCCTGGAGCATCCTGCCACAGCAGAGGTCTCAGCACAGTAATCTTASGTATCATATATGCTCTAATAAATAGGTTCAATGAGTTGAGTTAAGGGCAGAGTTTAACTATTAACTCCAAATTCCCTCGCTCTTATGGCTGTAAGTCAATGCCTTAATGTTACTTTAACACAATTTCTGACAGTTGAATAAAATCTATGGACAATATTACAACCCCTTCCTTCCTAAATGAAGGAAAATACATGTGTGATTTGCATCRGAAACGGTGGGAAACGCTGTGGGTGAGTGGGGGTGACAAATGTCTACAGCCCCACTGGCCAGGAATCTGCTCCTTCCATTTGCCTTCAGCTCRTTGGGTCCTTATACCAATCCCCAAAACAGCAGAACTGGCAAAACTACCTCCACTCCACACAGGTACAGTTCTCAGCACAGGAGCCGTCAGCAGGCACAGGCATTAGAATACAAAGCTGTAAGATATATCTAAAATAATCCCACAAAAAAAATCAGATGACACAAAGAATTCTAATACTTTCCTTTTGTTAAGATACAGTAACTGAGAATACAATGAAATTCTTCATGTTCAGTATCTCCCATTAGATCAATTAATATTCAGAGAAAGGCTTTAACATGAAGTTTAAATAATCATAGAAGGAGAAAAAGAACCACCAATGTTCTAGAAGCTTCTCTAGACCTTTCAATCAATTTTATTTATATGCAAAACCAAGAGAAACTCAGAAAAAACAAAGCTCCTCCTGATGCTAAAGCTCTCAATTTACTGACAGGCAAATGGCTTCATGCTGCCACTTAATCTCATTTCTTGCATAATGCCCTCTAATTAGCATATCAAAGTGAATTAATACTTCTAGGGCATTAGCAATGGGAAAATCTGCTCCAGGCTTCACAATAGCAGTTAAGCAAGAGCCAAGAAATCCTCAAAAACACCACAAACCACTTTGCATTGCAAAACTGTTCAATTTATTTATCCTCTCTCTCTAAACACTTTTACCGCACACTGTTTTACTACTGTTCACCAAACAAAATGATAATTGCCAAAGTTACCAGCATCTGTAATGCCTGTTTAGAATCCTAATTTAGATTGTGTACTTGAAGCTCTCGAGATGCTTCCATTGACCCCGTCATACACCACAGGACAYACCGGAAAACTGTTGTTCTTTTAAAAAATGCTGTCAGGATAGTATTATTAAATAACCTTTTCCACTTACAATAAATGATTAAAAATTAAATAATCTATGACAAAGCCACCTGCTGGACAATGAGGAATGAGAGATTGGCTTTAAATGTTGATGCATGACTGAAGTATACCAAAAGGGTTTGACCTGTAAACACAGGATACAAACCCACCTCCCTTGCAGGTGATGGATTTGTATTACATGGGATATTCAGTGAATCACATTGTTACAGTGCCTATGACTGTGCAACACGCAATGAACTACCATTAACAAAAGAACTGGAACGCCTAAAAGAGCATAAAATTAAAGTAAGAACATAATGATTTTTACTATATGCTTTTATGCAAAACATACTATTTTTATCCAATTCCTGACGCAATAAACATGTCTGAGTTGCTATAATCAGAGATCAGAGCTTTTCTCCTTTAAAAAATGTTTTCAGAATCTACATTCARTCGCAGGTCACTTTGCAAAATATAAGTTGTAATTTATAAACAAGRTCTAAAAATCCCTGCAATTTAATCACCTTAGCGCTTCACATCAGTCTTCAAAAACAGAAAAAGGACRTTGAGGGGAAAAAAAMCSCAACACCCAAACCCTACCTCCCAACACCAGAACTCCCATCCTAAGCCATGGAAGGGCCCGAAGCACCAAGGGATGGCCAGTAACAAAGACTAAAAGAAAATGCCAGGGGTCACTGGGGTTTTCTGCATTTCTGTTTGCAACATGAAGGGCGAAAGTAAGTATGGGAATAGCAATAAATTATGTTGGATATTTATCTGGCACTTTGAACGTCCCTAAAGAATATGCATTACTGAAATCCACACGGTGTTGGAGGAGCAGGCTGCATTACCTTTCCTATTTAATTCCCTGCTTCCTTCCCAATCCCGGCAGCACCATGGAGGAGCTCTAATGTCCAGCTGAGCTGCACAATTCATCTGTTTGGCTGATGAACTACTCCAACTCTATAAAAGCATGAACTGTAAGAGCTGACAGAAACTTTAATAATTTATATTAAATATTGATGTGAATTATTTACTCCATTCACACTTAAAGCCAGGAATTGCCTACCAGAGAAAAGCAAACGTGACAAAAGGTCAACACACTGGTGAGAAAAGGCAGGCGGTGTCAGGCATGTGTTATCTGAACCATGCTGATCACCTTGATAAGCGAAGAGCATTAAACATGACTGCTGAGCAAACAAACAAAGCATTCTTCTCAGGGTGTCAATCCCGGCACTCCGACAGCTCCAGCTAATTCCAGCGCCACGCCGGGACCGCAACTCCGCTCGGGGCTCCGCTGCTTTGGGCTCGCTCGCGCACCGATTCACATCCATTCCTGCTGTTCATAAAAATATTCATCGAAGCATCATGTGCGCGATGTGCGAGGAATTGAAAAACAGCCKAAAATCTGAGGACAGAGCCAAACCGGACTGCCACGCGCTCCGCTCCGTAATTATTAATACAGCCTTCATTCAGATTTAAATATTGCGTTGCATTTGTAACAATTTAGAATGTCTAATTCTGCTTATATTTGTCTACGGTAGACTGCAAATATCATTATATTAATGTTTCACACAAATCAATGTTTAAATTGAAAAAAGACAGCATAATATCCATATCATACAACTTTTCCATTGAAAGCTGCAGGAACGGAGCTTGATAAATGTGTTAAATCCCGTAAAAAAAAAAAAAAAAAAAGACTGTTTTGCATTCCCTACATGCCATGATAATAATTTATCTCTGAATGCAAAAATTCCTTAACTTACAAAAAGCATCCTAAAATACACCACACAGTAACTGCTGCAATTTGGTATTTTCAGATAAGCAAGCAAATGTGTTGAATTCAAAAATAAATGGAAAGACATGAAAGACAGCTATAATAAAATAAAATAAAATAAAACAAAATAAAATAAAATAAAACAAAGCAAAATAAAATAAAATAAAATAGAATAAAATAAAATAAATCATTGCTCCTCGTTACATTAGTATTGACAAGTCGGGCCAAATTTATTCTCTACAAAGGGAAAAAAAACATCTCTGGAACCACTAATCCCAGTACTCAAGGTGAAGATGGATATTTAAATGCAGCAAGGAGCACCAGCAACAAGGAGTGCTGAAGGTAGCTGTAGTCTCAGCTTCTGTGAGACAAAATACCACGAATTTCTCTAATGCCCATAATCATCAAATCGCCATTTTCTCAACTAGAAGAGTGCACTGGTAGAAATCCACAAAAGAACTGGGCTACTGATAATGAATATGTTGGAAACAGATGACCAAACGACAATCAAGACACTTTATTCAATTTATTTTTTCCTGGTAGGACATTTATGAAGAAAAGCAATGTCATTGCCATAARGACAGTGCAAACGACCAAACATTGTGCTGCACGGCATCATTTGTAATACATCTGCTGGCAATTAAAAAAAAAAAAACATTCAAAAGTACAACCACTGGGTTGGCGACAAACCTTGGTACTGAAGCATGAGATGGGAAACAAAAGCTAAACAATTTAAGCTGAGCTGGACACACATAAACACACAGTACTGACTTCTTCAGGAAGTCAGGCAACAAAAAAATACGTATTTAACAGCTTAAAAAAAAAAACCAAAAAGAACAGCACATAAATATTTTAAACAGCTAAAGTGAGTAACAATAACATCACAGCTGATATTTAAAAAATAGTCAACATACACACACACACATACACACACACATATATATGTGCTATCAGCGCCATTTGATTGCTCCATCAGAATCCTCGCATGTTCCTGCACGATTGCCAGCATTGCATGCTATAGAGTATTATTAAGAGCTGTTGGCACTAAACCACAGTTTACAAACACTGCAAAGTTGAAATTGGTGCAGCGCAAAGGCAGAGTGCTGTGAGTGGCTTTTCACATCCCCATGGTGCTGACAGGGGTTAACATTTTCCAACTCTGCCAGAGGCACGCAAAGCCAGCGCTGCTCCAAGGAGTCCCCTCGCCGCGGGTTACAGATTCTCCAACATATTGACAAGGGGCGTTCCTGAGCACTTGGGCCATGTCATCAATAAGGAGCTTTGCAGCAGCCAGGGCCCGATGCAGMTCTTTAATCACAGCGTTGCAGAGCACGGCTATTTACAGTTGTAGCGATAAAAATAAAGGTAACTTGCAACGGAACGGCGAGGAATTAACCCCGTGGTTAACGCACRATTTGTCTGATTTTCAGAGCTTTTTTTTATTCATTTTTTAAAACAAAAATCTAGGCAAGGGGAGAATGTTCTTAATGAACATTTTCATCCTCTCTCTTTAGACATAAAAAATAGTTGCAGCAGCCCGAGCAGCCGAGCAGGCCTTTCGCTTCCCCTGCGGACACCTCCTGCAGTCGAGAAGTTCATTAAGTTTTATGATCTTCCCAAGTCAGTCCTGCTTATAAGCCTCACAAAGGCCACAAATCTGGCAAACCATCATGTATGCCATTAGGCTTTACTAGGAAATGAATGCTATTTAGGGGTGGTGGTGACAGTAAATTCGGGGTTGGTTGGCAGCTATCATTGTTGCTGCTGGACTTAGGGAAATAAATAAATAAYTKTACATGTGTACACGGTAATGCACACGAATTCAGACATTTTCATAAATGTGTGATCCTATCTCTACAAATGACGCTTAAAGACAAAACCCCAAATAATCTAACAACGCAATCCAGGACCTMATAATATGTTGTTCCATTGGGAAATAATTGCAATTCCCTAAGACATTTTAAGACTACAAGAATTAATATATTAATTAGAACTTCTTTCTTCATAAGAATAACCAGAACCCCAGGTAGAACAACATCCTAAGGGAAGCTTAACAAAATCACCAACCTGAAGGTGTTTTAGTCAGTAAAAAAAAGCTATTAAAAAAACCAAACAATGGTGCAAATCAGTTTTTGATTCCTCCTGGCAGGGCATGAAGRAACATACTGTGACGCAGGTAAGCAACAGATGTGAGCGTGCACTGCGAAGGCAACTTCACCGTTTCCAGTGACACCTTGGAGAACGGGTAAAGCACAGCCAAACCGAGTCACTAGGTCCTCCCTTGCTCACCTTCCTATTTTATTGGTGGGCCTTCGGTAGAACTTTGGTATAATTTTTCTTTGAACTAATTAAGGCCAGAAGTGGCAGTTTCTTCATGAACACCGTGCTACCTTGTGGTTGCCTCTCAGAATACACACGGCTATTAATAGCTGTAAAGCACTTAAATGTATTATGTAGCACTTTTGAAAATGTTAAAATGTTAAAAGAAATGTCAAGCTAAATTCAGCAAGTCGGTGATTTTCTTTGTACATGGTAAATATCTCACAGGGAGAAAAAATAAAAATCTTCAGTTCCTGACCCTGTGTGAGGCTTTCAGAAATGAGATACATCCATTAACCCTTGCCAGGAAGCGACAGAGTCGCTCCATGTAAACTGARGATTCCTCCTTCATCTCTCTCCCAGCCAGTCTCACAAAGTCCTCCCTGACTGTACTGAAAACTACTAAAATGCAAATAAATACATAATTCAATATAAAATTTACTTAAATATCAGATTAGTTGCTTCTGAACAGACATGACTGCTAGGCTCCAGCTTCTCTCCTCATCCCTTGGAAGACAGTGATAAAGCCATCACGGCAATTCCCACACCCAGGTAAACTTTGGTTCTGATCAGAAAGAATTCAACACCAGCACATGATCCCATCARARGCAGGTTTAAGCTCTCAGACCATAAGAAAATGCAGAGCCCATGGGGGAGAGGGGATACCTCAGCTTTAACCACACCTCAGACCCTTCCTAGTGCTTCCAGTTTAGAATCGTCTGAGCCGTTCCCTCCAAAAACAGCTTCYAGAATACAGGCTACAATTTATTTTCACATTTTCTTTGCTTTAGCACGCTAACTAAAGCCTGCACAGACATTTGCCTCAACTGGGAGACCCCGAGTGAAGGTCTCCCTCCGGGAAGAGTTTTTGGTGGAGGTGTGGATCCATCTCCATCAATCACCCGGAGCATTAATCGTGTCCCTCCCGTGCTGCSGGGCTGGCAGGAGCTCGCCTTTGGGCAGCCAGACGCCTTCACTCTTTGTTGATTCTCAGCGATCKCACAAAAGAGAGATAACTTGAAAACTTGCTCGACTTCTTGCAGCACAAATGCAGGATCCCAACTTACAAGTTATCACTGAAACACCCCGAAAGGTTTCAGACCACGGAGTCTCTTGTCAGGTTCYCTCTCGCCTGCGAGACGGCGGCGGCCTCACAAATAGCCTGTGCCAGTAATCCCAGTGCTGAAAGGACTCGGGTTTTCTTCGCAGCTCACCTCTGACATGTGCCTGACYACACTTGCCTTTCAAAACACTGAGGATAAGCCCTCTGCAAATAAAGTGACCGCGGGACCCACGCCTGCCTCCTTAATTGAAACGTGCCTCCTGCAAATGTCTGAACACCGAGGGCAGGTTGCTCTCTGGATCCGGAGCAGGACAGGCAAAGAAGTTTAGGGAAAGGCAGGAAACAAACAAAAGCCAAAAAAAGGACTGAAAGGGGTTACGGAGCCGACCGAGGCGGAACGTAGGTAGGTGGGAAGGGAGGGCAGGAGAGGGATCATTCCCCTTATCCCGGGTAATATAATGCAACATAAAGCAGAATCAATCTTAATATTCACAACACAGTCAATACCCTAGTGCTTAGCTGTCAGCAGGAACTGAAGTGGATCCCCGGTAGCAAAGAAACCCTTGGATGCAAAACACCATAATTCTCTTAGAACCGCTCACTCCGGGCTCCACAGCTCAGATTTGCAATGATTTCACATTGGATTGTTTTTGTCCAGTTTTATTTTTTCAGTGTGAAATTAAGCAGAACGTCAGTATCACACAGAGCTAAAAAGCCAGGCAATGGCTTTACTTATGTGTGAATAAATGTCTATTTCTTCTAAAATCCAAATTATAATAAATGTTTTTGTTATTGTTTGATGTTCTTACTATTGTTAAATGTTATTATTCTTATCAAATATTGTTCTCACTAAATGCCCTTATTCTCATAATACAAAGCAGAATCCTTTCTGCAAATTTTCTTCTTAAAAAAAAATACAAATTCAGTGATGTGAAAAAATTGCAAAAAATCTTCTAAAACGCCCGAAGAAAAGCACGAAGTTTATTCCTGTCGCGTTAATATAGAAGAAAAAAAAAAGAATGTACTTTTGGGAGGATTTTTGAGAATTTGGGCGTTGAAAAGCCCAGCGCCCGGGAGGCAGCGGAGCAGCGCGGGCACAGGAGCGGGGTCGGGGAGCGCACGGCGGGGCCGCCGCGGGCTCGGCTCGGCWCCCCCGCCCCTCACAAAGCTCCCGGGCCGCTCCCGGGGTTCAAACCCGCGGTCACACCGCCCCGGGAAGTCTTTCACACACCGGCTGACGGGAACGCGGCAGCGCAGGCGCTCCGGGGCCGCGGGGGCCGTCAGGGGACCCCCGGGCCGTTTCAGGGCGCTGCCGCCGCCCGGGCTCCCCTCACGGGTCCCGGAGGGTTCCCCGGGCCGGCCCGGCCCCGCTCCCGGCGGCGGTGTGAGGGGAGCCGGGCCCGGCGCGGCGGGAGGACAGACCGAGCGCTAAGATGGCTGCGGCGGCGGCGGCGCGGCCGGCCCGTACCTGTTTTCTCCTTGATCTCGCAGAGGACGCTGAACAGGGCGGGTTTCATCCTGTGGCAGTTCAGGGCGTGTTTCCTGCAAGAGAGCACAGGACAAGCGGTTAGCGCCGGGCTCCGGCAACATGGCGCCGTGGCGAGCCCCGCGCTGGGGCCGCTCGCCCCCCGTTCGGGGGTCCCGGGGCCGCGGGCAGCCAGGGCCGCCCCGAACCCTCCTCATCCCTCCTCGCTTTTGTGCAGAATTATCATTGTGCAAACACCGCCCGAACCAGGGGGGAAAAACCACCCCCCTTGTCCCCGTCCTGCGATATTAGAACTGATTTATTAAGGAGATTGGGGCGGGGGGGGAGGTGTACAGAGTTAACATTGTTTTTTTGTATTTATTGTGATTTAATACAACCAGGGTTTGGTTTGGGTTTTATTCACACACACATACACCCTCTCTCCTGCAGCAGTATCTGGTCAGACTTAAAATTCATCTGCTGCCACTTTTGAGAAAAGAATAGAAAGAAAGAGACAAAGTTGTACTTTGAAGGATGGCAGGACAGACAGACGGATGGACCGGCGCGCCAAGGCCGGGATCCACCGGACAGTGTCCAGCGGGAACGGSCAGGGATCGGCCACAGCCTCCCGCACACCACAGTGACGGCAGAGCCAGCAAATACTTCTACATTTATTATATCTCTTTTTTTTTTAAGGAAAGAAATCATTAAATAGCAACTTGGCTCTGCCTTGGCTGCTGGTAATTTCTCTAACGGCCCCAAGAAGTTGCTCTTAATTGTGAGACTCCCGGTCTCTGCAGAGGAGCAGGAAGGAGAGAAACAAAAACCACACACACACACCAAAAATAATTTTTAAAATAATAGTAATAATAATAATAATAATAATAATAAAATACAAGGTTTAATTAGACGAAACCAACTTTGCTTGTGCCTCATCCAGGCTTTGGTCAGTGATGGTCATGATCTGATGGAGGATGTCGCCGATGTCCTGCTTCCTGCCGTCGCCGTCAGCCCCTTCGTGTCCGTGGGGAGGCGGCAGGGCCATGCCCCCCTGCACCGAGTGCCCGGCCAGGTTGACGCCGGCCAGAGTCTGCAGCATCCTGGACTGATCGTCCATGGCTCCGGGCCGGGCCGCGCTCCGGGCGCTCACGGCAGCGCCTGCCCCGCTCAGTCCCAGTGCCGCGCTCCTGACCGCGCTCTGCACACACACCACCAAAAAAGGGGAAAAAAAAAAAAAAAGCCAAACAAAACAAGAACAACAAAAATAACAACAAAAAAAAGGTAGTATTTGTGTTTTGACCGGATCTCAGCTGTTTATTCCACTCTCTCTTCTTCTTCCCAGGGTAGTAAATCACTCTCTTCTTTAGTTACAATCTTCTTTCATCATCATCATATTGGTGCCTCGGATAAATGAGCTGAGCAGATTTCTGTGAGGTTTTCCTGGTACAATCTTCCTCCAAAGGTTTTTTTTTTTCCCCTTTTTTATTTTTATTGTTGCTTTTTATGTCTTTCCCCACTTGTCCAAAAATCTTCTTTGCAAAAAGGCAAAATTAAAAAAAAAAATTTAAATATAAAATCAAAAAGACTCGCTTTCAAATCCTTCAGAAGTTGAGAGGGTGCAAACAGCAAAAACCACAACAAACCAGCGAACACCCCCACCCCTAAATTGCAACATAAAAAAGCCAAGAAAACACAATCACAGAGGGRAAAAAAAAAATTAATCGCCCTCCCCCCCAAATAACAAACGATCCCAAGTCTGTGCACGGGGGTGAGACAGCAGCAATCAAAAGTTTGAACTTGTGCAAAGAAAAGAGCGGAAATAACGGGGAAAGAATTGTAAAAAAATTAATTACACACTCTCTGCAAAGCAATGTGCAAAAATATCGGCCCGCCGGAATTTATGAGCCCCGCGCCCGGTGCCCGCGCGTGTTTTATGTTGTTTGATGGCCGCTCCGGTGAGGGATTGACAGGCTGCCAACGCCACTCACTCACCGCAGACGTGTCACCCTGTGAAGGAGGCGA